GTCTGAGCCTATTTCTCCCCATCCAGACCCGCACGGCCTCCAGGCAGCGAGACATCACATCAAGGGCATTGTTGGGGTGGTTTGGGGTGGAGATGTACAGCTGAGTATCATCAGCATACAGGTGGACTCTCACCCCAAAACCACAGATGATCTCACCCAGCGGCTTCACATAAATGTTGAGCAGAAGGGGCGAGAGGACCGACCCCTGCGGCACTCCCCATGCAAGGCGCCTCGAAGTCGACCTCTGCCCCCCTGTCAACACGAACTGCGAGTGGTCGGAGAGGAAGGAGGAGAACCACCGCAAAACGGTGCCCCCTATTCCTAACCCCCTCAACTGCTGCAGCATGATACCATGGTCGATGGTATCAAAAGCCACTGAGAGATCTAACAGGACCAGGACAGAGGAGCAACCCCTGTCCCGAGCCCTCCAGAGATCATCCACCAACGCGACCAATGCTGTTTCTGTGCTGTACCCCTGCCTGAAGCCCGACTGGTACGGGTCCAGATAGATAGCTTCATCCAGGTGCCTGGGCAGTTGTCGTGCCACCACACTCTCAACAACCTTCGCCACAAAACAAAGGTTGGAGACCGGACGGTAGTTGGCTAATTCAGCCGGGTCCAGGGAAGGCTTCTTGAGGAGGGGCCTCACCACCGCCTCTTTCAAGGCAGCGGGAAAGGCACCCTCACTCAGAGAAGCATTTATAATCCCCTGGAGCCAGCCTCGTGCTTTCTGCTCTTCCTCCATTCCTGTTATATTTATAGATAGACAGGGTGATTGTGACATTGTACTCTAAGCAAGCTTAGGACAGATTTTCTCTGTTTAGCTAGATGGGATAGATAGTTTTCATTTTCTAAATTTAAAATCTTTGCCAGAAAGTAAAGGGCTGGAAGGGACTTTGAAAATCATTTACACTAATTCCCTGCCTATTGCTGGAAATCGTTACTCTTAACATCCCAAACAGATGGCCATCCAGGTTTGCTTAAACAACTCCAGGGAAGGAGAGCCCATCACCTTCCAAGCAGTTCCACTTTTGGGCAGCTCTTGCCATTAGATCTGTCTTGATGTCCTTCCAAAATGTACTTCCTTATAGTTTAAATCTATCATTTCTGGTACTGTCTTCAGAAATAACTCTGAGCTATGCATCATGTCTTCCTGCAGTGTTTTCCAACCTAAGCGTACACAATGTCTTTAACTGTTCTTTCTAATTCTTTTTTTCCCTTCCAGGCCGTTTATAATTTTGATTACTATTCTGTACATGCTGTCTGGCTTGTCAATGCAGTGACCCAAACTGAAGATGGAGTAAAAGAATGATGTCATTTTTTGAGTCTGGCATTAGATTTAGTTTTAGTTGAAGCTTCCAGTAATTATTGCTTTAGCTAACTATGATAATGAAAGTATTACAGTAAATGTTCCTATAACTTCAGTGTTACTGATAGAATATCCTGTGTTATGCACTTCAAGCTATTTACCAGGCACTTGGTAACAGCTCTCCAGTGATGGAACATTCTTGGGGTTAACTTGTTGGGGTTCAGAGATCTATTTTTCAACTTTGTTTCTCAACAGGAGTTAGTTGTGGCACTGAGTCACCATGTGGTTCAATATGAAACCAATTTCTGCACAGTTGCCTTACAGTTTATGGAAGAAGAGAAGAACTATGCATTGCCCTCACCTGCTGCTCCAGGTACTCTATCACCTTCTTTGGAAGTACAACGTTTTAGAAGTTGATTCTGTGAGCTATCTTTTTTAACAGGAAACTGGGAGAAAAAATCTTATTTCCTTCTCCCATTTTCTTGAATCGTATTAGTTTATCTGAGTCTAAAAGTGACAAAAATCCCACTTCTGTTGGAAAACAAGATAAAAAATAAAATTCAACTTGTTTGAAATGCTTGAACTCCCCTAGCATTATGCTAATTCATATGTAACACCAGCAGTTTATTTTTTTTTATGTAAAGCATTTATATCCTGCTGATCAGTTTAAGAAGCTTCTAGAACAGCTTACATAACAATATTTTAAAGCAAAAACTCAGTCCCTGGGTTTTTAGCTTTACAATCTTATAGCATCAAAAGAAAAAGATGCAGAATGAAAAGGAAAACAAGAAAACAGACAACTTCTCCCATGATTCCTGCAGAAGGCAACTGTGATAAGAAACAGCCAAAGAATACCCTCAGCAGCAGAACAGATAGTTCTGTGGCTTGTCTTTATATGGCATTTTGGCCTTGCTGGCCATTGAAGAAGACAGCCAGATGTTTAGGTGCAAGTGGGGAAAAGCCCACATTCGGACTGGGTTTTTACCTGTTTCTTCTCTCCTTTCTCCTAATGTATTTGATTTGTGTTGAAAGATTTGTTTGGGGGGGGGGGAACCAGTGGTGGGTTTCAAAAAATTTTACTACCGGTTCTGTGGGCATGGCTTGGTGGGCGTGACGTGGCTTGGTGGGCATGGATTTGTGGGCATGGCAGTGGAAGGATACTGTAAAATCTCCATTCCCTCCCCATTCCAGGGGAAGGTTACTGCAAAATCCCCATTTCCTCCCAATCAGCTGGGACTCGGGAGGCAGAGAATAGATGGGGGCAGGGCCAGTCAGAGGTGGTATTTACCGGTTCTCCAAACTACTCAAAATTTCTGCTACCGGTTCTCCAGAAGTGGTCAGAACCTGCTGAAACCCACCTCTGGGGGGGACAGTTGGTTTATTTAGATAAAAGCTTCCTGTTTTTCATTCCCTGTGAATTCCTTCTGTGGAATAATGCCTCCCCCCAAAATATTAAAATAGTCTCTTCCCTCCTAAATTTCAGAAAGTCTAAAAACTTAGTTGTTCTATTAAACCTTGAGGGCAGGATGTTGTGACTGTTCTTCTGCACAGTGATTAGATTCTTTGGTTTAAAGTCCCAATTTATTTATGTGCTTTATACATTTTACTTCTGATTTACTGTATTTTTCTTTAAATCCAAATTAGAAGGTTGTGAAATTATATGCTGCTAGGAGTAAATTTGTTTGAAACAGTTTATATGTACCCTATAAATAAAATGTGTACTTTAATAGCTACTGTGCCTTAAAGGGGGGGAGGGCATTTTAAAAAGTGGAAACATAGACCAACATTATTTGTATAGGAAGTAAATGGTTATAAATAAAATGCACAAGAAGCTGTCTTTGGTGTGCATTATAAAAGCTTTTTTTATAGCCGACTAACTAAGTCTGCCTTTTGGAGAAAAATGAGATTAAAAAAATAAAAATTGCAAGCAGTCATTACATAATGGAATTCTTTGGGTAAATATTTAGGCAGGAAAAAGATCATTAAGCTTTTTTTGTTTGCTGTTCTATTGTAATAGCCAGACTCGCACCTCAGCAGTGATAACTTGCTGAACTCAAATGAGGTCAGCTTTGTTTGGGGCTGTCACGTAAGTCTCATAACTAGCAGTTCTTGCATAGTAGCAATCTGTCTGTACATTTTCCTCTACTTTAAATAAGGAAATTGAAATAGTATCTAAGTTTTAAAATGTTACTTCTGAGAAATCCCATTGATTGTCCCATTGATACTAAACTAGAACATTTGTCCCATTAATACTAAACTAGAACATGTGTTAAAAGGAACGAAGAGAAGCAGTCTAGCCTTTCAATTTGTTGCTTGCGGAATCCATCGTGCTTGCTGAGCTTGGTTGTTTTCTTGTAGACATTTTATTACTCTACTGTGCCACTGTTACTCTTCAGTGCCAGAAGAGAGTAGGGTTTGCTGTCTGTTTATATATATAGTTTATACATAGAGGCTTGCCCTGTCAGTGTTGATGGGAGTCTTGTTTTCTTCTTCTGCTAGTTCCTTGATTAAGCCATTGTTTATTGTTTATTCATTTGTTTACCTAAGCTGATTTGTTCCTTGATTTGTTACTCATTTGTACATTGCCTAGAACAGGGGTGTCAAACTCGATTTCATTGAGGGCCACATCAGGGTTGTATTTGACCTCGGGGGGCCAGGGTAGGCATGGTCATGGTGGACGTGGTCATGATAGGTGTGACCAGCTCGAAGTTTCTCGTGTCGGGGGTACCCGTGGTTGCCAAATGCTAAGGCAGGGCTTTCCTCAGACCCTCCCTCACTCTTATAATTTCCTTCCTTCCTTCCTTCCTTCCTTCCTTCCTTCCTTCCTTCCTTCCTTCCTTCCTTCCTTCCTTCCTTTCCTTTCCTTTCCTTTCCTTTCCTTTCCTTTCCTTTCCTTTCCTTTCCTTTTCTTTCCTTTCCTTCCTTTTCTTCTTTTTTCTTCCCTCTTCATTCTCCTTTCTTCTAACTTCCCCTCTTTCCTTATATTTCCTTCCATGCTCTCTTCCCATCTGTCCTTCTTTTTCTTTGTCTGTCAGTTTCTTTCTGACTTTCTTCTTTCCCTTTCTCCTTTCCTGTCCTTTCTTGTATGCTCAAATGCAAAAGAAGAAACATTTCTCCTTTTGTTTTGTTTTTTAGTTTGTTTTGCTCTGCCATCGAAAACGGAGCTCGGGAGGGCCATGTATGCCCCCCCCGGCCCCGTTTTTGGCCGCAACAGCCTCCTGCAGCTCTCTGCCAGCAAAAACAGAGCTTGGGGGGGGGGAGGCTGCACACACCCCCTCGAGCTCTGTTTTTGCTGGCAGAGGACTGCAGGAGGCCGTTGCAGCCAAAACGGGGCCTGGGGGGCCGTACGTGGCCCTCCGGAGCTCCGTTTTCAGTGGCAGAGGGACCGTGGGCTGGTCCTTTGCTGTTTCCAGGGTGGCCCTGTGGGCCAGATCTAAGCATCAGGTGGGCATTGAGTTTGACACCCCTGGCCTAGAAGAAACATTTTTGAATATATTAAATTTATATGCCACCCATCTCCCGGTTCAAGGCAACTCTGGACTGTAAAAGATAAAGGGAAGCCAACTGCCATCCAAAGTCATTTCTAGACAGGTGTCAAATAAATTGATACTAGATAGGTGTCAAATAAATTGAATAAATAAATAATAAACCTTTGCCTAAGGGGCAGCAGTGGCTACTATCATCGACTTACTTGAAACTGTTACTTGTTTACTATTTTGCGGGAATAAATATTTCTATTGCCTCCATAGAGGGTGGAAGTCTGACTCCAGTCCGAGATAATCCATGTACTCCAAAACTCCGTTCTGTCAGCTCCTATGGAAATATTCGAGCAGTCACTACAGCAAGGAACTTGAATAAGTCTTTGCAGAATCTCAGTTTGAATGAAGAATGTAAGATAACTTTTCATTTTTAAAAATATATATATTTATATAACCTTATACCATGTGTGCATTTGGATCTACAGCAGAAATGGCACAGTTAAAAGTGGACAGTCTCTAATTACTATTTGTAAATAGCATGACATGGCATCGGATCCTGAAAATCATGACCAGAAGTATATTCCTTGGCAAAAGTGATATATTTGTCCTGTCGACTATAGTCCCTGTGCCTCTCCCAAAACGAGTGCTGAAAGAGAAGAGAGAGGGGGAAAAAATCTTGCTATAACAAAGTTGCATACATATATAATAACTTCATCTGATTTTCAGTTACAAACAGTCCTCAACTTACAACCATTCGTTTAGTTACAGTTTGAAGTCACAATGGCACTGATAAAAGTGACCTATGAGCATTTTTCACACTTACAACTATTGCAGTAGCCCCGTGTTCACGTGATCAAAATTTGGATGCTTGGCAACTAGCATGTATTTATGATGATTGCAGAGTCCCAAGGTCATGTGATCATTTTTTCAATGAGGGGAAGTCAATGGGGAAGCCAGATTCATTTAACAACCCATGTTGCTAACTTAACAACTGCAGTGATTCACTGAACAACTGCAGCAAGAAAGGTCATAAAATGGGGCAAAACTCACTTAACAACTGTTTTGCTTAGCAATGGAAACTTTGGGCTCAAGTGTGGTCATAATTAAAGGACCACCTTGTATATTCCCTTATCTAGAAGCAAGTCGTGATGCTACCATATCCCAAAGGCTCTTCAACCCATAGGTAGGTTTGCAGAGAAAACAGGTAGCTACAGCCCTGAAAAAAGAGATGGAGGAAAAAAATCCCTCTTTTTATGAGTTTCTTTTCACATGTAGCTTTTAGGACATAGCCAGTTCTTTGATGGAGGGACATGAAACCAGCAAACCTCCCGCACCTATTATTCCTTAAATTCTATTGTTTTAATCTTTTCTACATATCTTTTCCCACTTTTTTACAGAAAAACATGTATCTGGCAGGACTCCCAAATCATTCATGCATCCCCAAAGTATTTCCATATTACAAAGTTGCATATGTCTGCTAATTTCTGCTGTCGGATAAGTTTTAGTATTTAAATTAACAGTGGTATGATCTTCTGTTTCTCCATTACTGAGCATACTGTTAGTTAGTTAGAGTTAGAATAATTTTATTGTCACTTCGAATGTACACTGATCGGCATACATTAAAATGAAATTTCGTTTCATACAGCTCTCAAAGGGTCACCACCTCCAATATACACTACATAAACATGACAAAATAAATAAATAAATACAAAATTATGCATATACCCATATATATTATATGACACAGAGAAACAAGAAGATGATATGATACCCCTTCTGAAATAGTATTTTTTGACTTTTCAAGAATAGAGACAGAACCGGTATGTTAACTTCTAAAATAAAACTTATTTAGAGCAGGCTAAGCCTCAGAGAGATGGAGCCTGGTGACAAAATGATGGAACTAATGCCACACTACAATCACTAGGATTTCTGCATGTGGCTAATAGATACTACTGCAAAACCAAGTATATCCCTTCTCCCTCAAATTTCCACATGCAACTCAAACTTTATTGAGTGTAGTCCTTGTATAAGTGTTTTGTTCAATGTCTGCATCCTTATTGTTATTCAACAGCTGGAAGCTCTGTTGCATTTTCCCCTGGAAATCTGAGCACCAGCAGCAGCGCCAGCAGCACCTTGGGCAGCCCTGAAAATGAAGAATATATCTTGTCTTTCGAGACGATTGACAAGATGAGGAGAGTCAGTTCCTACTCATCACTGACTTCTCTGATAGGTAAGCCTAAACATTTTCAAGACAGTTTATTTATAATACAGAGGATGGGATGAAAAGGTCAACAATTGCTCCAAGCCAATATCATTGTGGTAGAAGGAGTAGAAAATGATGATTAAAAGTTTGGGGGAAAGAACAGATAGATTCACAATGCAACAATTTTCATGTGGGCATGTGTCAATTTTCTGTCCAGGATATTTTTTTCCTACAAATTTAAGCAAAAGAAGCAAATATTGATTGGAATTTGTAACGGAGCTATTAAACAGGCAGCTCATGGTATATGGCCTATGGTCTCCTCTTAACTCACTATTTTGTTAAAATGATATTCTTGTAATCAGCAATGTTCCTTTCTGATTTGTTTGTTGATTATTTAGTTTGTATCTCATTTTTTTCCTAGCTAGGTAGAAAACTCAGGAGCAATCTTGCCAAGCAGTAAACTAGCATAGTTTACTATTACTACAATGGTCACTTAAACTCTTTGGGCAGGATAGGCAGTCACCATCTTGGAGTAAAGCTTCTTTGCCTGTATCATGATGCCAACTGCACAATAATGTTGTTGACAGCTCAGATTAAAGGTTCCATGGATATGGACTGCTAGTATGTGCCACTCTCTTTGCCTAAATACCTTTATAAAATCACCTTCCACCATCATTAGAAAATAAACAAGAGGCAAAACTATGATAGGTTGCAAATAAGGAGTCAACATTCTAGAAGGATCAAGGGTTGATCCTTGGGCTGCATGGACAAATAGTCTGACCTAGATTATTTGGCATTTCTTTCCAGAAGACGCATTGGCACTCAGTGTTTAATGTGAATATTATCAACTCACAAGGGAGTTAGAAATTGTTTTTAAAACTGCTATCTATTATTTTTTCATTCCTCCCTTCTGATCACCAACTCTGTAGCTCCTCTTGCATATAATATGTTTTGTGGTGAGTGGGATTTTTGAGATTATTCTTGGGATTATGATCCAACTAAATTACTAGTCACATTGGGAATATAATGCAGAAAAGATGCAATATAGCCAATCAAATTCAAAAACATTAAAAAGCGAAATGACAAAAGAACAAGAAACTGACAAATACTTTTTACTGGTTTGGGAAACAGAAATAAAAGAACATATTGTCTGCAGAGGATGAAAATTGTGTACCTTATATCATCTCTTTTACAATACTCTGGCGCCTCAATTGCTCCTTTTGTAAAGCTTGATATTTCCCCACTGTTTTCTTCAAATGTTCAAAAGAGTTTAATTTGTTACCAGAATTTCAAAAAAGTTAAAGTCAAAGAAAGAAACTGAAAATAAGCAAAAAAAAAAAAAATGACCCAAAGCAATATTCCAATACTCCCCTTATTCGTATTCTGCCAGGAACAGCTCATATCCAGCTCTAAACAACATAGCTTCTGGAAGTGGTTTAAAATTCATAACTTGCACAAAATCCCATTACTTTCAGCACCTACCTTTTAAATGATGGGGGATTCTTCCCCCTCGTGACTTCTTTCTTCCACCTTCCCACTTTGTAGAAGAGTCTTCCTTCCTTTCAGCTGCAGTGTAAAGAAAATCATTTTAAAATGTTGAACGATCCATATGTTTAACTTTAGAGATGGCAGACTTACATTAATTCTTTAAAAAGCTGCAGGGTAGCGTTACTCATATAAAAAATAATAATATTTAGCAATATAGTTGGGATTTAGAAGAGTTCCTGTAGTTGGCTGAGAAAATGGCTCTTTTGCATAGATATACTCTCAGGTTCCATTTTTGACCTGGGTAGCAAGAGTGAGAATGTCTGTAAGGAATCACTGCTGGTCAGGTTAGATCATGGTTTTCCAACTTTTTGGTTTGGCTGGACCATATTGAGTAAAGAGGAATTATCCTGGGCCACATGTAAATATATATCATATAGTTAATGTGTATAAATCAGGTAATGATAGGTTTTGTCTGATGCAAGAAGTCAGGAACCAGGATGAGTTCAAAAGTACTACAAGTTTATTTCATACTATCTTTACACATGAATCTGAACTACTAACAGTCAAGGAGAATTGATGTCAACAGGGGGCTAGAATTGCAACTTTTCTGGGGCCATAGGTATTCCAGATTGATGATGCATTTGACACACCCTCGGGCTCAGCCTGGTTGTCTCACACAAGTTTACGATCTTGTGGAGCCATATTACTAGCTATCCATGTGGACCATGGGCTGTGGGTTGGACATGCCTGGATTAGTGCTGCAATACATGACCAATATAACCCAGAGATAGATTCATCTGACACTATATAAGGCTGTTTCATATGAACAGAACCTGCACTTGATGCTTTAGCATATGAAAACATCTCCCAATTACAGTATATCACATTAATTAGTCATCTTTAAAATTATGGAATTAGCATCATTATGCCTGGCGCTTAGAGATTAACACTAGGCTTTACTGCAGACCTCCTCCTGAAATTACCAGAAATTGTACTTTCTGATGAGACAGAAGGGAGAAGAATATGAAATATATTAACTTTAATTACATTGAAACCAAATCAGATTTAGTTTTATGCTAGCTCCACCAGTTCTTTATGCATTCCCCCAGCATACCACTTGGAGGTCAAGTGAAGGTCCAGCTTAAAAAGGATCACACGTGTGGCTTGGAGAATAAAAGAATATAGATCCCAAGGAGTTTCAAATTGAACATTTAACACACTGGAGGAGAGGAAAAAGGGCTGGTGGAGCAAAGTAATTAAAGAAATTATATTCATTATTTTAGTTATGTGTGCTTAAGCTTGAAAATTGGAGCACGTCTATCATGGGATCAATAGGATGGATATCATTAGAGAAGAAAAGTAAAGGAACACAGGAAAATATTATGAATTCAGGTCATTGCAGTTTTGAAAAGGATATGATGATCAAGGGGAGACAGAATAGATTTTGATGAGGACAGTAATACATAAGGCAGTTCATTGGAGAGTTTGCCCTAAGACAGAGAGGTCAAAAGAAAAAGCCAAGGAGCTGATTGTAGGGGAATCATGAGTGCAATCACAACGAAGTGGAACTAAGGCAAAGAAGAAAGCAAGACAATATTAAGGTCTGAAACAATGGTTAAGACAGAGCTCTACAATACTTGGGGATGTACTGTAAAGAGTAGTAGGTTCCAGTGAATTAATTTCAGAAGTAGAAATGCAGTGGGCAAGTGAATAGGCAAAAGCTGATCAGATCGCACTTGTAGGAATGCCGCAACTATTAGAATATGCTTTAAAGGAGAGAGCAATAACAGTGTCTTGCGGGAAGCAGAATCAGAAGTTGAAAATACTAAGAATGGAAAAATCATAGGCAGTGATGGGTTCCCTGGCTTAGGAAACAGCAGTTCCCAAGAAAGAAAACAAGAAAAGCCAGAAGTATATAATTAGGTGATACTGTATGTGCAGCAGGGAGTTTGAGAGGAAAGAGAAAAAGGAAATGTAAAAGCCTCTGTCAACTTATGTTTAATTCTTGTCAGCTTCATGGATATGTCCATATAATTTTCTTGGCAAACAATTTGGAAATGGTTTTGGCACTGTCTTCTTCCAGGAATTTTTTTTACCGGTAAATTCCCAGTCAATCCTGTAGCTCCATTATTTCCTGATGGTTTTCCATCTAAATAATAATGTCCAATCCTTCCTCCTTAACATACTACACAACACAGAGAGCTTTTTAAAGATCAGACATAAAAAATGCAGTTTACCTTAGAAGAATTATTTGGTTGAAAAACAACATCCTGCACTTTGGGCACCACTATGCTCAGTTGAGCCTATGATTAAATGGCTGAAATGGCATTCCCTTTAAACCTTGATCCTAGTGTGATTGGGGGGGAAAAAGTAAGGATTAGTAAGAAATGACTGTTAATAAATTGTATTTCGTCAGTAGCAACATTTCTAGGTAGGAGAAATAATCAGAGGAAATAATTTTTCAATAGTGAAACTCTCATTGTCATTCTGAATATTAAGAGATGAAAAATATACAGCTTTCCAAATGTTGCTGTTCCCAATTTTCCCCAATCCATGGTTGTCTTGAACCACTATGTTTGGGTCACTATTAAATCGCTTTATTTAAAACTGTAAATACTACTTCTCATGTTCATGCATCTCCAGACATCATTCTTAACTGCAGTTTAGCTTGAAAATGAAACTACCTAGATACATGAAGACATGAATAGGTATAAAAACAAATGAATAAACTTCAGGAATTTACCTAAAAGGGTACTTCCAAGTGATGTTTACAGAACAGCTTCCCTATTTGATGACTGAAGTTTTGTTATTATCATTAAAATATCTTGTCCTTCCTCAACAAACCCAGGGCTGCATAACACACATTCTTATTTTCTCCACCTTTGTAATGCTGATTTGCCAGAGAGAGTCCTTGGGCTCTGGGGCTGAGGAGGGATTTTAATTCCCATCTCTCCAGCTGAAGTCCAGCATTTTTGCTGCCACCCCTGAAGCCACTTGATTTGTGGTCCTTGAAACCCTCTGTATAGTTTAGTTGTGATTCAATGTTTTCAGTAAATAGGAATCAAAGCTCCAGCGCAATTAACATTTAAACAGCAAAGAACAATATCAGCCCCATCCAAGAAGTACCAAAGAAAGAAAAAGAAAAAATTTAGCCTTGTTCTCAGGTATGATGTCAGTATAACCAGTTTTTATCCTTGCCTTGTCTACTGTAACCCTCTACCGTTATCCAAAAAATTAAGTGACCCCCCCCCTCCTGAATCACCTCACAAGCTCTTTCCCCATTAAGAAAGTGAACTCTCAAATAAAAATTTAGGGGCCATTTTCCAATAAAAGGAATCTTATTCAGTTATTCAGAATACTTATTAAGTAAATAAAACAATTGACAAAAATTTAAAAACTGCATATTAAAAGAGAGATTATTATAATAAAGAATTCCTTCGCCTTCTTTCAATCCTCCTCTGAGGTTTAAATAATAAAATGGCATTCTGCAGTTTTGGTACAACCGTTGCGTTGTTTTTTTACAAAATAAAAAAAAGGAAATCTGATTGATTAATCGTGGCACTATTTTTGTCAGTCGGAATGCTTTAATCATTTAATCTCTGTAGCATTGCAGTCCTTTTTTTAATTACCTGTCATATTACAAAATATACATGATATAAGAGAACATACTCATTAATGCAACAGCATAGGATTGAAGATGTATTTTTAGATAGCTGAAGGATTTATAGAAAGTTTATTTTACATTGCTCATTCAGGTGCATAAATTTTTCAGTCATTGATTGCCATAAAGGCTAACAACCTCTTTTTCCTGAGCATTTTATGAGCTCTCACCAAAAAAAAATCCTATTCCCCCTTTCCCTCCTGCTGCCTTCCATGTAATATACCTATTTAGGAGGAGCATCAGCTGGAAGCAGAGAAAATTCTCACTGTTCCTGATGGCACGATGGCTCTGGATCCTCCATTGTGCTCTTAGAAATGCTGCTGAGTCTTTTTAACTGTTGCTTCCTCCTGGCTTGGTATATTCAAACAGGAAATTAAAACTGAAAAACCTCCTCTTTGTTGCCAAGGTCAGAGAAAGAACTTAAAGATCAACCGTCTATCATCTGCTGCTAGTTAATCTGTTTTCTCTGTTGCTAGTTAATCTCCTCCCTGATTAATTTTGAAAGGGGGAAGAGAAGCAGAAAATGTTGGGAATGGCTAATGGGGGAGGAAGTGGTACATACTTTGCTTTGAGCTCCTAGAGAAAGGTAGGGTGTACATCAAATGGGTAAATAAAGAAGAAAAGCTTTACCCAGCGAATTTAACTCAGACTGTAATTGGCATAGCTTTTCTGAACAAGAGGAGCTCATTTCTGAACCCTCCAATTTACAAATTTGGCACAAGCATTGCAACTGCAAATTATGGTGAATTCCCGCAGCGTTCAGTCTCTCAGTAAGCCAGGCATCTGAGAGAAATGGCACCGCAGCTGCTCTAACTTGTACGTGCATACCATTCAGCCAGGCCCCTTTCAGCTGAAGGGGTTGAAAAATGCAAGCCACTTGAAGTGTCCTGATTGCGACTGTTAAATTGAATAAAGGGCCATGCATAGCTGAATGTAAACTTAAAAGCTCCCAGCAAAGAAGGGCTATTTACTTCTCCTGTTCTTGTTAAAGGGAATCATTTTGCAACACTCTGTACTTTAAGGCCCATTTAACCAATTTTGAATTGGCCCAGCTAATTACAGAGCCGTCATTTTTATAGAGATTTTATTAAACGTTACAATTAAAATGGTGGGAGCTAATACAAACTTCAAAAAGAATAAAAGGAAAACATGCAGGAAAAAGGAAAAAAAACTAGAAAAGAAAGAAAAAATAAAAATAAAGTAAAGAAAAAGAAATATCTAACTATGGGTATAGCAATTTTTAAAAAAACATTTAGACTTATACACTGCTCCATAGTGCTTTACAGCACTCTCTGGGTAGTTTACAATGTCAGCATATTTCCCCCAATAATCTGGGTCCTCATTTTACCCATCTCAGAAGGATGGAAGTCTGAGTCATCCTTGAGTCCTGTCAAGATCAAACTCCTGGCAGGGCAGAGTTAGCCTGCAATACTGCATTCTAACCACTGTGTCACCACGGCTCCTATACCAAAGGATATAATTGAGTAACTTAATACTAAAATGATTACTAACAATAGTAATATAAAGAAAAATGTGGGGATTCTTCAGATATGAATAGATGGGAATCATTAAACCTTAACCTGTGGAGAAAGGTGAACAATGTCAACATGAATATTATTCTCAGATTAATTCATATTCTGAGAGGAATTCCGGTTTATATGCCTGGAAAATATTTTCAAAAAATAAATTCTTTGTTTACAAAATTCCTATGGGTTGTTCAATTCTGAAAATATCTTTACAGAAAATATAATTACCAATTAATGAGAGAGGCTTTGATTTTTCTGAATTTGGAGCTATATATTTAATAGAATTGATATAAATACAGAATCAATATTCCTTAAGTGGATGGGTAACCAAATTATTACCTCCATTCTGATTTGGGCCAATTAATAGAGTATCCTACTATTTTACTAAAGGCACCTTATCTTTTGTATAAATACTGGGATAATAATACAAAGTTTAAAAATAAACAAAAGAATGTCATCTGCAAGTTAAACAAATTTATGTTCAACTGAGTTGTTTATTACTCCATAGATCTCCCTGTGGTGTCTAGCACAAGGGTTCCATGCAGCATGGATGGAAGAAATATCCTTGCCTTGTTCTTCTAAACAGTGGAAAGGCAGGAGAAAATATGCCATTAATTTTCACTTTAGATGTAGGTGACCCATATAATATCTTAATCCATTTTATGAATTCCAAAAGAAATCTAGAAAACCTCCAAGGTCCCTTCCAACTCTGAAGGGACCAACTATTCTATTTTATTCTATTCTAATACAGCCTTTTGTCAAAGGCTTTTTCAGTCTTTTTCAGCATCCAATTATAAAATTGCAAATAGATCTTTATTTTTATTCATGTCTATTAGATCTACAACTAACCTAATGTTATCTGCTGCCTGCCTAATTTTTATAAACCCTGCTTGATCATTCTTAACAACAAACAATATCACTTGCTACAATCCATTTGCTAACACTGCTGTTAAAATCTTTGCATCAATGTTAATCAACAAGACAGGATGATAATTAGAACACTGAGTATTATCTTACTTGCTTTTGGTACAACTGTCATACCAGTAGAAACCTAGTTAAATGTCAGTGATAAAATTCTGTTATCAAATATTTCTTCATATACTTGACAAAATTTTGGTACCAAAAGATCTATGATTGTTTTATACTACCTAATAGGGAACTCATCTCAGCCTGGTATTTTAACACTTGTTATTTTTAAAATTATTTGTTTAATCTCTACCACAGATACTAGAGCAAATAGATGTTGATGTTGTGTATCATCTAAATATGCTAAATTAATTTTATTTTAAAAGTCCTCTGTATCTTCTTTCAATATATTCTCTGGTTTACTGTATAATTCTAAATAAAATTTTAAAAATTGATAATTTATGTCAATTGAAGTTTTATACATTTAATCTCTTTTGATAATTTTAGTAGCTCATCACTTTCTCTTAAAGTACAACAAATGACCTCTTCTTCACATATCTCATTTGTTATCTATAAATAAATGTTTAAAGCCTCATTGTTCATCAAAAGTCCATTAAGGGTTACCAGCAATAACAACATATTTATTTTAACCTTGATCAGATAAACCAACTTTATATTTCTTCCTTTCAAAGCTTGTTCTTTAATCCTTTCAAATAATATCCTAGAATTTGATTTCTTTTCATTTTTAATTTGTTCCTTTTCACAAAGCCTTCAAAACTATAATAAGTCTCTTTTGTAAATCTAATATAGGTAACTTATCCAGATCACTCCTTTGGTTTGTTATTTGTATACCCCTTTCAATTATTAAGATATCAGCCAGTTTATATGTATATCCAATGTATTATCTTTGTTCATATCATTCGTTTAGTTTGTCATTTTAAATCCATTGTGATATCATTCTTTATCTTATCGATAAAACATTTTCCTCTTCCCTAACATCTTTCAAGCGACAGTTTATCTGTAATAGCAGAAATTCTTAAAATTAATTTCAAGGTCCATTGTTCACATATATTCTTCAATATGTAAATTTTACAGTATTTTTCTCCGTTCTAAAATCAGTGAGTCAAATTTAAGTGTTCTTCTCCTTTAATTGTAAGCTTTAGTCCTTTCTGTTCCCCTTAGTTTCTAACTTTCAAATTCCCATCCTATCATTTTTTTAAAAAAGAATTTAGAACAACAGAATTCTTATAATTAATTTCAAAATCTTATTTCAAATATCTCTCTCTCTCTCTCTCTCTCTCTCTCTCTCTCTATCTATCTATCTATCTATCTATATATCATATATATATGTGTTTTTCTTTCTTTTTCGTGGGTTTTATGTGTATTTCTCTTTAGCCAGGTTCTACCTATGTAAACCAAGATATTACGCAGCCCTAGTTCAGTGAAATCACAATTCACTAGTTTCTGGGCTTTTTTTTTCTTCTTCTGGCAGCCAGCAGACCCTTTGCTGCCCATTGGGAGACTAAGATACATCTATTTCGGCCTTATAAGGCCTCATCAGTTAGCCACACCCTCATCTCATGTATCCTCCCTATAAAGGTACAATATTTGTTTTTCTTTCTTTTTCGTAGGTTTTATGTGTATTTCTCTTTAACCAGGTTCTACCTACGTAAACCAAGATATTATGCAGCCCTAGTTCAGTGAAATCACAATTCACTAGTTTCTGGGCTTTTTTTTTTCCTTCTGGCAGCCAGCAGAAGGGTCTGCTGGTGCCAGAACGGGAAAAAAAAGCCCAGAAACTAGTGAATTGTGATTTCACTGAACTAGGGCTGCATAATATCTTGGTTTGGACTGAAACTTGCCCAAGAGTTTCCTTGTCATTACAAAGATTCCAATAGCTAAAAAGCAGTTAAAAAGTAATTTAGAAAGTGATTAAGAAATGAGACTCAGGAAACCTTATGTCCATATAGGCTGCATTATGGTGGTAAGCTTGATTGAAATCCCTAGACTAATATGTCAATCACAAAAATTTCAGTTTCTGCATCTACCCCCAAGGGACACCTATCTAAAGTACAAATGGGTGATTTCACAATCTCTGTTTTTTCCAGAGAGATTTTATTGCCCAGAATTCACCGTCTGGCTTCTGATCCTGCTGCAGTGCCATCCTTGTTCCTTTAAAGATGTCTAGTTTATCATGAACCCTCACTGGAAGTCCCACAGAGCTGTCATTTCAGATGCACTTTTAGTGCATATGCTTCTGCCATGTGCTTTGTCTCTGCATCCCTTTTTATCATTACAATCCCTAATGCAAAAATAGAGCTTTTCCCCCCTCCTGCTGTTAGTAGTTCTTTTCATCAGTGCACCGACTCAGTCAGTTCAAGCTTGACAAGCAGCTAATTTGGATGCATCACTCAAGGGGCTGTGAGCCATTTTTTTTTCAATGAAAATAATATATAAGGAAGAGGGAGAGCAATGAATCTAAAAATTCATAGAAATTCCTTCTGTTCTCTTCAGCTGATGAGTGAAAGAGAAATTTCAGTGGTGATTTTTTTTTAAGGATCAGATTCATTAAAGTCTTGTGCAGGTATTTTTCTTTCTTCATTCTTTATTCCTCAGCCCTGAGAGAAGCACGTTCACATTAACACAAAATATTGCAATATTGAAAGATTCTTTTCCTTTCCTGCTGGTCTTTCATTAACTTTCAAAGGAATCTCAAATACCTGAGATTTCCCAGCTGTGGTTATACAACTTCCTGCAAGGAAATAAAAGTAGAAGAGGCAATATGCTGATCAGGGAAAAAGGAACTGTGGAGAATGCTCTTCCAATGGCACAAACTGCCTGATGCCTTGACAGCTGCCATCCTCTTGGCTTTCATCACTTTGCCTGTTTGTTTGTGTCTTCCTGAGTGCATATACCAAAAGCAAAGCTTTTTCAGTGACTCCAAGTCTGACACACACAAAAGACCTTCATAGATTGTGCCAAGTAGGAAAGGAGCATGAGATGCCAGCCACAATCTAAGATCTCATAAAATAACAAATGTACTCAAAAGCCC